ACAGACGTTTCGGATAACCAGCTTTTGGATAAACGACGCTCTACTGTATGACATTTATAGAAAAATATATTTCTTTGCATGTATAGTTAAAAAGAAATATATTTTTTTTATAAATGTCATATTTGTCCTGGCAATTTTTATTTATTGTAAAGTTTATTTGTATTGATGCTAATTTTGAAAATATGGGATGAAAATTTAATTGTAGCTTTTAAGAAAAATTATTTATTGAATACAATATGTTATCTGTGTCTTGAGTTACATAATATTTAAATCATTTTCTCAAAGTGTAACTTGTACTCCTGGGATACACAAAAGATCTTCATGTAACATATAGCAATTTTTGCTATGTACTGTACAAGTGACACAAGAATCATTATAAAGAAAAAATGCTTCAGTAACAAATTATTTTATTTACTTGTATTTATATTTCAATTAATTATATATTTTGTATGAATTCTCTTACTTAAGTTGTGATAAGTTCTACATTTGAGTACTCTGCAAAGTTTTTTTTTTGCAAGGAGGTAAAAAAATTTAAAAAAGGGTATGCAAAACTTTAGGAAACACTGATTTAAACAATAGAAATTGAATCACTTTTTATACAAACTGAAAGTTTTAATTATTACTTACAGTAATTAAGTAAAGAATGTAATAATATCAGGACCACTCAGAATTCTTATAAGTGGCCATGACAAAATTTTTATCTTTGGTCCACCTCTCCTCCTGAAATCTCAATGTATAATTAATAGAATTAAGTTTAGAATAGTCAATAAAACAAAGTTAACATTTTAATCAGAAATTTGAATATTCTGCATTAGCACTTTTCATTATTCCTTCAGAATTCTTCATATCTTTAAATTAGACCTCTTAACATCATGTACTCTTTCAATATATATACCCTTTGTGGATGGCCGTTAGTAATATAAAAGCATTTGGTCAATAACTAAAATTTTAACAATCAATTATATATACAGTAGACTCTCCCTTATAAAACAGGTTCATATAGTTTGGATTCCTATATGACAGCTAAAAAATTGCGACCATATTCATATAAACACGCTACAAAAACTCGTATAATTCGGTAAAACATCATCGCCGACTTGTGTCGTGACTGGATTGGTCGAATCTAGACCAATAACAGATATTGCACAAACCATTGAGTTTAAACGAGCAGCGGACCTACTAAAAACCATTTATTATTTCATGGCCATAAAAATTATATTTATATTAATGATGTCTCCAAAGTTCAGCAAAGTTTTTGCAAAAAAAAAGTAATTTATCAGGAAGCACGCAAGCACCATTCGATGCACTGCTCCACAACGAAAACAAGCTTAAGCAATGGCGTTGTCAAACAATGCAAACTTGGTAAGCAATCCTACAATTTTTTGTTTATAGCATAGTTTATATGGATTATTCCCAAAAAATTATACATATTTTGGAAATGTTGAGTCGAATTAGTCTAGAATCGGTTAATTTTATGGAAGAAAACCTTTCAAACAGCCATAGTCTGTAAACTGCATACGTGCCTGGCTGTGATTGGCTCATGCATTTAAGGACTCGTAGAAAATGAATTTCATAAAAACCAGAATGTATCTACTGTGTTATAGGGGGGTGACTGTATTTTCTTCAATATAACATTCATAATTATTTAAGGTGGTTGACATTTTTATAGAAAGTTTCAGTGCATTTTATTATTCTGAAGATTATGATTATTAGCTATTGTCGGGGTAAAATCGTCCAACATAAGATTTTCCGTGCTTTTCCATATTTTCAAACGAACGACGGTTGTCACCATGGGAACGCCGATCAGACAACTTTTGGAAACTCGATCGTGGATTGGCTGGAAGACATCGTACCACAAGCGGACGTCTTGTAGCACTACTAAGCGCTGATTGGTGGAATCCCATTTGCTTCAATCCGTATAAAAGGATTGAGTTTAGGCGGGAAGTTTAGTTTGCCTAGGACACATCAAGGGAACTCATGTTCATTCTAACTTTGCCTAAGCTTGCCTAGAAGATTGTTTCGTTTCGCTGTGTGGTAACTAACGTTGGAAGAAGTTCGTTGCAAGGTGTCCTTTTTGACGGACTTGTTGTGGTGGATTAAAAGTATTTGAACTTTGTTACACCTGACGTTTTGTAATTGTTGTTTGTGAACTTTTGTAACTGTACATACATTTTACTTGTAATATAAACATTTTGTGGAAATTAGTAACGTCTCGTATATTCGTCTTCTTGTGAATTTGACTGCTATCTATTTAATGTTTGTTGAAATTTTAAACAGCTAAGCGTATTTAAAAACCTCGTGTTTTAAATTGTAAAAATTGTTTACCACTTTATTTTTTATATTTACTATCAAAATTTTAGTTTACTTACATGTTTTGCAATTAACTATTTTTTCTATGATCTTGTTTTATGTGAAATATGGTAGTTCTATTGAAAATAATGCAATAGTATTTGTGCTTGTATAAGTTAAAGTTTTATAAGGTTTCAATGAAAAACTAGTTTAAATGTCTATATCCTATACAATTTATCAGATTTTCACAAAGTTTACATTATTTTACATCTTACTAAATTTACAAAAAATTTTTTTATTTGAAGATTAAAAATAATAATTGTACCAAAATACTGTACATGGTGTTTATAATTAAACTGGAGATATTTAATTATTTTTGAAGTGTAATTATTTTAGAGTTCTGTAGAAAGAACCAATGGCTTAAATGAATCCAAATTTGCATGCTTTCCTGATCATGGGATTTCAATTTTGCAAATATGGAGTTTATTTCCAAAATTTCCTAACAGAAATTTGGCACTAATGTTGCTGCAATTTGTATATTATGTAGATTGTGGAACAACTTCAGTGTTTATAGAAGTTACAAAGTGCATTCAATATGGATTTACAACAGGTCATGGTGCTTACATTACCCAATCACTCATTACTCATTGATGTTTAATATTAAAAAAGAAGCAATGAATTCTGATGTTTAAAGTTCTTGTTAAAAGGTTCTTTGAATGTTAATGATTTTTTACTTTAAGGAAATGAGAACTTGCAATCCCTTCTTGGATTCACATTGAAAACAGGTAGAAACAGTGAAACAGAGGAAGTTCCACTGTCTTAGTGGAATAGTAAATGGAGAATTCTCAAGGCAGCTGTAATGCTTGTTTGATATCATATCGATTGGATGTGCCCTATCCTACATTACAGAAAATTTTGCAGTGAATATTGCAGTTTTATCCCTACAGGATCTCTCACAGCCATAATTTGCTTTTAGGTGGTTATATACAGTGGAAATCATATGCCATTTCATTCATGATTCATGTCCTGGCAGATTCTATGGACTGATGAAGTCCATTTTTCTTGGTGTGGTGAACACTTATAACTTTTGTTTAGTTTGGAGAAAACTTTTCCATTTCCAACAAATTCCTTTGTATCAATCAAAAAACAGTTTGGTATGGATCCACAGCATTCTTATCATTGGACTGTATTTTTTGAAGATAACAGTGCATCTAGGTCATTGATATGTTCTGTCAATGCTATTAGGTATGGAGACATACATCAAAACTTTATTACCCCTACACAGCGACAAAGTTGTTCAATACCATAATATACAGCAAGATGATCACCCATCATATTAGTATCAGTATGCAAAGGTTATATTAGAGTGCCTCAGCACTTAGATGAAAGAGTGATTATCTGATCATTTCCAATAGTATGGTCCCCACAATTACCAAACTTGAACTCTCTTGTGATTTTTGGTTATAGGCATAATTGAAGAGCCTTGTTTATTAGGGTGATGTTCTTAATTTAGCTCTCTTAAAAGATATTTGAGACAACTGTACCTAAGTCAGATAAGTTTCACCATCAAGTACATTTTTCATTAAATGTATACTTTAGAACAGTGAGATGGAAGGCTCATACAGTAGAATTGTTAATCTGATATATCACTTACTTGAACATTATCATGTGTGCAATTTGACATGTAAAATTACCATATGTGACATAACCTAAAGAGAATTACAACTCAGAATCTGTAATTACCACACTAAATTGCAATAAAATCATTACATTTTACATCTTAATTTCTCTGTATTGCCTGAATTTCTTTGGCAATATGCTTAATGTGTAAATTGCAAAAACATTAGCACCAAATTTCCTGTATCAGGAAGTTTTGGAACTAAATTTTTTTATTTATAAAATTGAAATTCCTTGGTCAGGAAAGTATGTAAATTTGGATGCTTTTAAGCCATTAGTTCTTTCTACACAGAACAAGTATCTTCTTATACACAGGGAAGTTATAATTAAACATAATTATAACTTCCCTGTGTATAAATATAACTAATTTGGGAATATATTCCAATTTGTCCATTCAATTGTTAATTTTAATTTATGTAATTTTATTTATTCATTGTTTATGTAGATTATGTAAGTTAAAAATTATGCCATTTAAATTGTCATGTAAATTGAAGTCTTTTTTCTTGATACCCTTTCATTGTTAAAAATTACTGGAATAAAAGAATCTAAATTAATTTTAGAACAGACAAAGCTATCAAATTGACAGTTTTTCTGTTTTCTACATTGGAAGAATTGAAATTTCTAATTCTATCATTTTATATAATTATTAAAAAGTTTTAAATTTAAAAGTTAAGCAATTTTATAGGTATATGTATGTTTTTTAAAAAGTTAAACTGTCACTTTGATGGTTAAGAAAATAACACTCATTTTTCTGTTTTAAGAAACTTTCAAGAATTTTATCTTTAGTTAAATAAAAACTGATGTAATATCAATAATTTGAGTTTTCATTAACATATTTATATATTAGTATTCATTTTTGCTGCATTTTCAATGAAATATATAATCATTTTTAAACAGTTCACAGATTAGATGGTTGTTTTTCACATTTAATAATTTTTGAAATTTATATATTGCTATTAATAATTTGTACTATCTGATAAAGTTGTTTGTCAACTTATAAAATAAAGTTTTTAATTTAAAAAATTTATTATTAGAGTGCCTCCTGCTTGTAACCATGAAACTCGTGATCCTCATAGATGTCATTTTGGTAATTGCCCTCAATGTACACAGATTTGCAACAAGGTTTTGGAACCTTGTAAACATATTTGTAATTCTAGATGTCATATGGCAGTGTTGACATTAGTAACTCCTTCACAAGTAAGTTAATTTTTATAAACTTAAAATATTTACATTTTCTTAAAATAGATTAATAGAAAACAACAACATATTAAAGATTTTGAATAATAAATTCATTTACATAAATAAAATTTTTTGTTATTTAATAAGATAAAATAAGATGCAAATCATTAAACATTTTGTTTATTTATTCAGAAAAATGTGATTATTTTAAAAAATTATGATTAAAATCATTGCCTTGGACAGATTTGTCTAATCAATAATTAATAGTATTTAAATTTTATTAAAATAAATTTTTAAGAAATATATAGAATGAATTATAGATAAAATTAAAAGTTTGCAATTAATTTTTTTAAATTGATTATTATTAGTTTTGTAAATGTGATATATTATGCATTTAATGATAGTTAATGTATCAAGAAATTTAGTTTTAGAAATTGACTAAAAAAAATCATTTTTAATGGTTTTGAGGAATTTCATTCCTTTAAATATGAATAACATGCCATTTGAAAAATCAATGATATATTCAAAATAAAGTATCACAAATTTCTCAATATAAGAAAAGAAAATAAAGCAGAATTTTTTCAAAATTGATGATTGTGCAAAAGCAAATGGGAAAAGAAAGTTATGAAGAAAAGTGTATTGTATAAAATTTACATACAATATATGAAAAATATCTTGGAAAAATTATGCAAATTAAACTTTAATACTGATGATTTAATTTTTATAGAAATAAATCTAAATCATTAATTTGTAAAGTACTTACTACAAATTACTACAATATTCAAAATTTCCATACTGTTGTTATAGATTTTCTTAAAAACAAGTGACAGCATTTTTGTATGATTTTTTTCTGTATGTGGTTTGTTATTTCTATGTTAAAGTATGTGTCATACTTTATATCAGTAAATATGAAATTACAGTGGAACCTCGGTATACGTCTGCTTTAGAATACGTCCAATTCGGAATACGTCCTTGTTTAGACGAAACAAATTTTGCTCGGTATACGACTTTTGTTCGGTATACGACTTAATTCAATTATACGCGCCATCTATGAACAAGTAGCACTACCGGTGTACTACACTAGACTAGACGTTCGCGGTGCTACGGTTTATAACTTTCTTAAATTTCTTCTGATTTTAATTTGTAAGTAACATTTTATTATTTTTATTAATCATGAATTGCAAAAGGGCAACAGAAAAATAAAGAAATGACTAGAATCACAACGGAACTGAAAAAAGAGATTGTTGAGAAATATGAAGGTGGCACGCGTGTTCAAGATTTAACTGTTGCATTCCGTATTCCGAGAACGACGATATCGACAATCGTGAAAAATACATTATTAAATTTGCTAACGTTGCGAAAGGGGTTAAATCAATTTCTAAACAGAGATCGAAGACATTAGATCATGTCGAGAAATTGCTTTTGCTTTGGATAACTGAAAAACAGTGTGCCTGCGACAGCGTATCGGAAGAAATTATTTGCGAGAAAGTTAAAAGGATACATGCTGATCTCATGAAAAATCAAGCAGAAACTAGCGAGGAAAGCGAGGTGCTTAAAGCCAGCCATTTTTTTTACATGAGAACGGATTAATCATTTTTACATTACTTCTTATGGAAAAGGTTGGTTTGGTATACGTCCTATTCGGTATAAGTCCAAATATTGGGAACGGATTAAGGTCGTATACCGAGGTTCCACTGTAATATCATTGTACTGTACCATAGTAGATCCAAGTTAACAATGATGATGATAAAGAATGATTAAAGACTTTTAATTCTTTCATTATTTTTTGCTATTACATCTATTTTTATATATTTTGGCAGATTGATCCGAGCATTCTTTAAATTTCTTGTTAATTACTATATGAAATATGATATTCATCCTACAATTATTCCTATTTTCTTATAACTTTTTATTAGAATTCTTGCAATTCTCAAATCATTAACAATTACTTATGAGATCATTTGTTACATACACAAGAGTTTTGATTATATCCAAATGATCTTTATAACTTTCTATTATTGAGTTTCAATTTTCAAAATTGTAGATCTATAAATTCTCACTGATGTTCGTCTGTCTGTCCTTCCTTAATCTTGAGAACAGAGTTAGATAGATGAAAATCAAGACCAGATATGGAAAACTTAGGGGGCAAGAAAGCCCCAATTAACTATGTACAAAGTAGTTAGAACTGGAAGTCATGTTATTTCAATTCAAAAATTTTCTCCTGAGCAGAGTTAGATAGATGACAGATATGGAAAGTATAATGTATGTGAGCAAGACACCACTAATTTGAGGTGAAGAGCATATATTTTAAATTAAATAAATAAAAAATATGATTGTCACAATGCCAGGCTGCAATTTTTAATGTTACAAATAATTATTTATTATAAATTACAGTGTTGTTTTTTACAATGCTATTCAGTATTTCCAGTTTGCACAGAAATCCTATATATTTTAAGACCAGAATTGAGTATAACAATAATTTATGTCAGACTATTGAAAGAATTGCTAATCTCTATGTTGAGGAAGTTAAAAGGTTGCAATGGCATTCAGTTGCATTGTATAAAAGATGAGAAAGATTACTATTAGGGTCTAGCAAAATTTACAAATAATTATAGCACAGAACAAAAATAAAAATATATTGAACAGAAAAATTAATAGTATTATGATTGATCCATGATAACAGATTTTAAAAAATTATAAAAACTCTAATTTTTACAAGTTAAGACCAAAATATTTTAGATTAAGACCTTTCCATTTCACATATTTATAATCACATCTAGAATGAACTAATAGAAAAAAACTAAAAATGGAATTTTTAAGATTATATTTTGTAAACTATATGCTGGCTAGTGTTTTGAGACTTACAGCCATGGATCGTCCACATAAAATTATGATAGTTTGTTTTGTATAACTTTATAAATGTATTTTATACTTGAGGACAAAAATTGTTTTATTTTTTTTATAGTTGACTTGTTTTTTTTATAAGATTCTATAAACATAAATGAAACTTGTGGACTTGTTTAATACATGTTTCAAATTTCTCAAACTTAGCTATAATATTAAGTTTCACATGAGTCTAACATAATATAAATAATAAAAATTTTGTATTTCAATGGAAAATCATATTCCATACTGTGGTGCACAACAAATAGTTGAATACATGTTCTGATATGTAATTTGAATTGATTTAAGTGCTGTTCTTTATTTAAATTATACTAATGATCTAAACATAATAAAATGTCTTAAAAAAACATTTTATTACAATTATGAGTACATCTCTGTACTATTTAAAGCTTTAACAACTAATTGATCTTGATTAAGTTGAGTAATTTATCACTAAGAAAATGATTTATTTTGTTAATTTAAATATAAAAATAACATAAGGTATCAAAAATATTTTATATGAAATATTATTTTCATAATAGAACAAACTTAGAACAAGTTATTTTGCAATATAATAAATTATTTGTAACTTATTTAACAGCAGATATTGATGAGGAAAAAATGATCAGATATCTTCCTTGGAGCTAATTTTTATTTAGTCAATTATTACACCAACAATGTTAAAGATTTGGATTATAGAGAGAACTTTAATTGCATATTTTGTGTGATTTTTAACTTCTGTAACAATTTTTTTTATATATAACTTAGTATTATTTTATCATCATCTATTTCAGGGATGGGCTGCATGCAACCCGCAGTAATATTTTTTGCAGCCTGTGTTGCATAAAATATGAATAAATATATAATTTCTTAGCTTAAGGAAGTATGCAGAAAAAATTCAAATGTTATTTTATACAACTTATGTAAGTGAATAGTTTTTCCACAATGAATTTAGTAAAAATTAAAACAAGAAACTGGCTAACAGATGCATCAAAACTAATTTAAAACTAGCAGTAACTAATATTTAACCAAATATTTCCGATATGTTAACATCAATTCCAGAAGCTAAATTAAGTATAACTATGCTAATTTATAATTATATATAAATAAATAATTGTGATTTAATGACTTTTTTTTTTTCCTCTTTTCTCTTGTATCAGTTCAAAAGTTTTGAAATGAGGCCCTCGCATCAGTTCAAATGAGGCCTTCGCATCAGTTCAAAAGTTTTGAAATGAGGCCCTTACATAGAAGAAGGTTGCCCATCCCTGATTTATTTGAATATTAGAATATATAATTTTTTTTAAATTCTGATAATTTTTCTAAAAAAATAGCAGAACAATAAGTTTTAATTATAATATATATAAATGTGTGTGTAATAAACTTTAAATTAATTATCTATTATAATAAATTTATGAAATTTTCTATATAGAAAAGAGCTGGTCCTTGGGAACCAGCTCCAATGCCCTATACAGAAATCCAAGATCAACCTTGTCCTCCTTGTATGGTTCCTATTCCAGTTACATGTTTAGGAGGTCATGAGGTTTGTAAATACTTAATTTTGTATTTTATACATGAATATAATTTTTCAAAAAGTTTTCTTAAATCTATTAATTATCTAGCAACATCTTATATATTAATATATAATAATCATATATAATTAGAAAAAATTTAATAGCAGTACAGTAACAGTAATGAAATTTTTGAATCAAATTTAGTTTCATTAAACTATTGATAATTTAAAAAATCATTAAATATTATTTTATAGGTAGAATTCAATAATCTAAATTATATAATTTTGTATACAATAAAGAAATTTAAATATTCATTTCTGCAGACACACAATTTTCCATGTTCTGAAGTTCGTCCTTGGTCTTGTGGTAGAAAGTGTGGACGTTTATTGACATGTAGTAACCATACTTGTTTGCAAGAATGTCATAAAGTGGAAAATCCTAAAAGTTCATACGAGGTTAGTTCTAATGCAACATTATATTAAATGTTTTTAATATACTTCTGAATATACAGGGTGTTTTGAAATTCCTATTACGAACTTATATGATAGATTCCATAAGAAAAACTAAAAATGTTTAGTAACATTTTACAAATAAAGCCTTTATTAAGGAGTTATAGATCTTCCTGGCCTTGGATTTTCTTTGGTTGATATTTGCCATTTTTAAATTTTCTATACCATTTATATACCTTTGAACAAGATATGATAGTATCCTCAATTTGGTGTTTGCAACATTTTAAATGTTTCTGCACTGCTTTTTTTCAAATTTCCAACAAAATTTAATGTAGATTATTATATCAAACATATTTAAAACCAAAAATCACAAAAACTACATAGCTGTTATTCAACTGCTACTTGAATACTAATTGTTAAATTAATACAAAACGCAAGCAGTTTATAGCAGGAAGTTGGCAATGCCTCCCCATCACAACAAAATTTCTGATGTTGATTCTAATGCTCTCTGTGGTACAAGTCATTAAACTTTGTAATTACACCTTGTAGTTTCTGGGATAACTTTGGGTACGTTTGTAAAGTCAAACGAGTTAAATGTGTTAGTAACGAATCATTCGAATAGTAGTAGTCTCGCTCAGTGCGCATGCTCTACGGTGATGACGTTTCAAACAAAACTCTAAGTTCATGAAGGAAAGAGTTAGTTCACTTCGTTAAGAAAATGGCAGCTGGCGATATCAATGTTTCTAAGTCTATTCGAGAGTTTAAACTGAATTAAAAGGTGAAATGATAGAAATAACTGTCCACCTGAAGCAATCTAAGAAAAATATTTCGGATAAGGCTATACTAGCAACATTCATATCTTCAATTTTAGAAACAGCCATTTAGTTACAAACAAATCATTTGAAAAGTCTAATGAAAAAAGAATAATGATGATGTTATTCTCATTTAACTCGTTCAACTTTACGAACGTACCCTTTAAAAGCATTCATATCTTTGTAAGCTTAAAGATGCTTGAATTGCTGCCAAGCAAAAATGGATGGTTTGCTGTTTAAAATATTTATTTTCATATAAGTAGTATTTTTATATGAGGACTTCATATGCTTTGAAAGTTTTACAAAATGTTAAAGAACAGGTTGATGTTTTAAATTAAATAAATCTGTAATTTTTTTTCATTAAAAAGAAGGAAATTAGTGATTTAAGTAATTTTACTAATGAAAAAATTATTCTAATTTGAAAATGATATTTATTCATATTTAAAATTAGAATGTGATTCAATTCTTTATAAATATTTTTTGTACTATAAAAATCAAAAATAATATGAGGCAAGATATTATCTACTATATAAAGCTGAAAAAAATGGGCATTTTCTGTCACAGTATGCCAAAAATGGCCACTAGGGGTTCCCTTAGCTATTATTTAAATTAACAATAAATTCAGTATATTATTATTTTTATTTTATAATTTAGTATGCCCTGATGCTTGTATCGAGCCTTTCAATTATATAAAGCTGAAAAAATGGCAGCATGCCAAAAACGGCTACTAGGGGTGCCCCTAGCAATTATTTAAATTAAATTAACAATAAAAATTATTTTATATTTTTACAGTATAATGTTCAGTATATTATTTTTATTTGTAATTTAGTATGCCACGATGCCTGCGTCAGGCCTTTTGACTTGTCATAGCTGAAAAAATGGCAGCATGCCAAAAACGGCTACTAGGGGTGCCCCTAGCAATTATTTAAATTAAATTAACAATAAAAATTATTTTATATTTTTACAGTATAATGTTCAGTATATTATTTTTATTTGTAATTTAGTATGCCACGATGCCTGCGTCGGGCCTTTTGACTTGTCATATATTTTGTAAATAAGTAAACTCTGAAACTTTCTACTTAACACTTAATATAAAAACAAAATATGTTATTGTTATGTGCTTATACATTTTATGCACACAAAAATTACCATTAATATGAGTTAAAGTTAATAAAAGGCATTGGAACATTCTTCATAATCATTAGGATTATGTTAATGGATTTTTATTTTATGTAAATCAGAAATATAATAATAAAATTTAAAGTAAAAACATATGAAATATATTAATACATCATTTATAAAATTTAGTTTAATATAAATAAATCATACACTCATGTTTGTAAAAATTGCAACACCATATCTCCCCATGTTCTTTCTAAAATTGTAATTTTTTGTGGAAAAATAAATTTTATAAATATTCTATAAATAAAAAATTTAACTCAGGCCATTTCACATTGGTCCTTCATACAGGCAAGCCTCAAAAAGTACTATTACCTATTTAAAGGAATCATGCAAATAAACTGAAACATACAGAAAATGAAAAACAGAATAGGGCATGCAAATATTCAGAATATCAGCGTGATAGAATATGCTTGGACCTCTGAACAGTTGTGTTAGCTGTATAAATAGAGGGCAGTAACGAAAAGTTGGAAGTAATGTATCATTGCTTGCCAGTGGTAAAAATTTCATGAGAAGTCTCCATGCCTCGTTGACAACAAAGGGTGTCATATGAGTAGGTTACAGAGCTTGGGCAGGGGTGAATGATCAGTCTGCATGAAGGAGGATTTTTTTATTGTAAAATTGCAGTTTGTGTGAGGCATAATGCCATGATAGTGATGCAAGTGTGGAAGCAGTGGGCTGAAGAGTACCAGAATTGCAGATCTGGTGGTGGATAATGAAATGTTATGTCAAAATGGAATGACAAATACCTCATTCTCATGACAATTACAGACCATACAGCTTCATCTTGACAGTTGGTACAACATTGAAGCACTTCTACAGGTATGCCATTGTCTGCATCCACAGTTCGCCGATGTCTTCTCTACCATGGATTGCAAGCAGGTATTCCTTTGTGCAGGATTTCTCTGATGCAAAACCATTGACATCTGTAGCTACATTGGGCTCATCAACACAGCCACTGGCATGCCAATTAGCAACTAATCATCTTTTCTGATGAATCCTGCTTCAGTTTGGAGTACAACAATGGCCAAGTGTGTATTAGACACTGTGAATACCATCTTCCACATTATCTAGCATCATACTTGGCAATCGTAAAGCTTGATGGTCTGGGGCACTATTGGATATCATGGGCAATCGTGGCTGCTCAGAATTGCAAGTACTCTCAACAGCATCTGCTACATTAAGGAAGTTGTGGAGCCCAAAGTCATACCCTTTCTTCAATGCATTCCTGGAACTGTATTTCAACAGGATAATGCCTGTCCTGTTGAAATACTGCTCTAGGAATCTGGAATACTGAGAAGTCTAAAACATTCCTAGCAACATGTGGACAGATATGTTACTAGGAATGTTTTAGATGACTTCTCAGCATGACAAATACCACTTCCTTCTTGGCCTGCCCATTCACCTTACATGTTGCCCATTGAACATGTCTGGGATTTCATTGGTTGGAAACTTGCTGGTGACACTCACCCTGCAGCCAATACAGATGAACTTTTGGTTCCGACAGAAGCAATCTAGAATGCTATTCCTGAGGTAGACATTCAAAACCTGTTTGATTCAATGCTATGTGTAGAAGCTCTTATTGAATTGAGTGGCAGCTTTAAGTACAGGTAACCCCCGTATAACACGGTAGTTACGTTCCAAAAAATTGCCGTGTTATGCGAATCCGTGTTATCCGAAACAAAGAACTAATGCGAAAAAGAGGGTTAGGTTCCAAAAATTAAAAAACATGCTAGTATATTTTCATAATTAAGATAAATATCTTCATTAAAATTTTTTTAAGTGATACATATTAATATAAATTAAACAATGTTTTCTTCGTCATCACTAAAAACACTATTAATTAACCGAGAGCATTTTCTTTTTGGCAAGTTATCCTTATCCTCTAAGCATTTTTCTGCATTATATTCAGATCCATGCTTTACCTTTTGCAAAAAGTATGTAATTTTAGATTGCTTGCTTCTAGTTAAAAGGTCTTTATAAATTTCCTTATATGGTGCTAAGCACTTATGAAGAATAAAGAAAGTATGGAATAAGGGAAAAACATTCGGCAACATCAGAAGCAGAAGCATCGCAATCTGGCAACATTGAAACAAGTTTCGAGAAGGACCACGTGTATCGACAGAAGGCGAGAAAAGAAAATTTACATACTTAAGTAATAATAGTTCACGAAAATAATAATTTTCGTGAACTATTATTACTTAAGTATGTAAAAATTTATTACATTTCATGTTGTACGAGGGTTTTACCCAATTCTTGAACCGTGTCAGAGTGAATCCGTGCTATAAAAGTACCGTGTTATACGGGGGATGGTACCAATTCTTGAACCGTGTTAGAGCGAATCCGTGCTATAGAAGTACCGTGTTATACGGGGGTTACCTGTACTGAATTTTGGCATGTAATATTGTTTGATTGCTCTGTAAATTTAATCATTTCTTTGAATCACTACATGTTACAAGTGGAATAAATTTCATTCATTCATATTCAAAATTGTGTAAATATTCAGCTAAATTTATAATTAGTAAAATTTTTATATATTCAAAATTTTAAAAAAGCAATTCCATTGAATTACAAACCTTTTTAAATTTTATTTAAAATGGTTTTTTTCCTAAAATATTGTGTTGAAGATTAGGTGACAAAAAATAATTTTCTTTAAGATTTCTGCAGTTAAGCCATAACTTGACATTTATTTAACTTTTTACCTTTCTAATTTTTTTAATAATTTGTTATAGAAATACTTGTAAGAATTCACATATGATGAATGAACACTTTCAAAAATTTTTAATAACAAGATTATAATACTCTTAATAAACTGAATGATTGCAAGATGATAAAAAGTGCATGCCAAACAAAATTTTATGATAATGAATAAAATATCCTAATTTTTAATCAGTTCAATAAATTTGTTTACATTTCAAAATAATTTTATATATTATTATAATATACATACTAAGCAATAATAAGAGTTTAATAATGAATATCAAATTACATAGGCTGGAGATAGTTGCCAAACATGTGAAGAGCCTTGCATGTTACCAAGACCTGATGGCTGTACCCACCCTTGTAAAAAACCTTGTCATCCTAGTCCCTGTTCAATTTGTAATCAACATCTTCGACTTCGTTGCCATTGTCAACTGAACTTTTTATATATTGTTTGTTTTGAATGGACTAGTGCTAATGACCAAAGAAAAATGGAAATGTTATCATGTCAAAATAGATGCCCCAAAGAGGTAAGTTTATGTTAAGTTTATTATTTGTTGTCTATAAATATAGTGTGATTGTAATTTATGCAGCCTTTACAGAATTTTTAAATAATGTGATCTTATAATACATGGCAATAAATGGATTTTTATGTGTAATAATTAAAATAGCATGTATATTCTTGCAAGGTAAAAATAATAATAATCTTACACATTTGACCAACCAATAATGAAAGAAGTCAAAAGATTGCAATAAGACTTTTTTCCAGATTCTGTATCTAGAAAGAAATGTTGCTCATTATATGATGTTTATAGAAGTTTATCTGTATTCTGTTTTTCTATGTACAGTATTTTAAATCACACTTTTTGTAAAAATATTTTTAGTCATATTCTACATAAAAATTTTCTTATTTGTCGAAACCGTGTCGTCTTCTTGTTTCTTCTAATTCTATGTCACGACTTGGCTCAAGGAAAAAAGATTCACTCAAGAAAAAAATTGGTACAAAAGAAAATTCAAGGAAAGCTATGAAATTACTACAGACAAAAATAATATTAACAAGAACCTAAGCATTGATATTCATAAAAACTGGCTACAATTATTAAAATAGAATGTTTATACAGTCGCAGGTGAGGCTGTGTGCAGCACTCCGGGAAGTGACACATTACAAGTTACGAGGCATGTGGGGGAGGCCGTCAAGTTGGGAGAAGAGGGGAGGGGAGGGGAGTGGGAAGTACGGAAGGTGCCTGACTGATACTGTATACACAAGTCACAACCTATCAATGTAATAGACTGAAGAGGGGCAAAAGCCTGAAATGCGTATCTGTATGAATTAAAAGTGGATGATGAAATTATTTGTCAAGTGTCGATAAATGCACCAAGTTGTGACATAGAATTAGAAGAAACAAGAATAAAAATTTTCATTAAAAAATTCCTTTAATATCATTTTATTTAGGTTAATTATTAATTTATCTCAATGAAATAACCTTACAAGTTGTTAGGCTAATAATTTGTGTATATAAAGAATGTATCTCTCAAATTTTAATATATTTCTTAAACTGGTTTTAATTTATGTTAATCCTTGTTTATGTAACATTTCAAAAATATTCTCAAATTAAAATATCAAGTTTTTCATTATTATGCTGTCATGATTTATATGAAATTGCAGTATTAATTTGATTAAATATTGATTTTAGATCATACTTATTTAGGTTGAGTTTTATTTTGCAGTTAAAATTTTCACAATTATTTATATACTGATATTTAATTTTTATAATAATTTAAAACTTTCTTAAGACAGAGAGAAATAAAAAGGAATCATTTTATATAGACTATTTTAACAAGAAGTGCTGATGTTTATTACAAGTTTAATCTAGTCATGTAATTTATACTACAGTTAAAAAAAACATTCACTGGTGATGGGACAAGATAGACATGTGGAGACATTTTAGTATTCTTCAATGTATATATTTTTTAAAAGTTGTACAATTCATTCAAACATAAATAAGTATGACTTTGATTCTGTTTAACATACATCTAGGCTACATTGGAAGTGGTATGATAAAATACTTTTTTGTTTGTCAGTTAAGATTTTCTAAGAAAGACAGTGATTCCTTTCTAGAAACAAAATTGTTGACATTTTTCTATTCTTAAACATAAAAACCAGTCTTTATGACTGAGATTTGCAATATTGTAAGGATTACATCACAGATCATCTTATGATAAAATTTTTATCTATGCTATCATGCAAATTCTTGTAGTTTTTATATGAAATGGTGACAATTTGGCAGCTTAAAATAGCCAAGATAAATTGAATTTAGCTTCAGTTAGTATTATTTATTAACCATGCAAACAAATGATAATTAGTAATATGCAAACAAAAATATATTAAATTCATTTGAAAATATGTGAAAGTTAGTTAGAAAAAGTAAATAGTTTGCAAAAATATGAATAGAATTCTCTTATTGGGAAAATTGTTAGCAAATTATATCTTTATAATGTTATGATTTTAATTTTAAAGTATTATAATAAAATAGAAATAATTTGCAATGAAACTTAAACAATATATGAGTGTTCAAAAATAATTTTATTTTCCTATTTACCCATAGTTGTCATGTGGTCATCGCTGTCCTCAAACTTGTCATCCCAATGAGTGCCCACCAAATGAAGTATGCAAGAAGAAAGTCACTGTTCGATGTTCTTGCAAACGAATCAAACGTGAATATTTATGTAATGTGGTTACATCTAATAATATCACAATTGAATGTGATGAAGTATGTAAGGAATTACTGGAAAAGGAAAGGGCAGCATTACTAGAAGAGGAAAAGAGAAGAAAAGAAGAGGAAGAGAAAAAACAACAAGAGGAATTAGAAGAATTTAAACGGAAAATGGAGGGAAAGAAAAGAAGACCAAAGAAAGTAAAAGAAATAGAAGACAAAGTTCCTTGGTGGAAAAATCATTGGAAGAAAATAGTTATAGTTTTAGGTGGAGTAGCAATTAGTGTATTTATAACTCATGTTATAAAATTTTCTAACTAAAAATAGCACTAAGGAAAAACATAGATATAAAACTCAATTAAAATTTAATTATGTTAAGTTTTAAAAGGAAATTTACAAAAATATAGTTTGAAAATAAGGTAACATTAATGGAACAATAAATTTTAAATTTCAATTTATCTTATTATTTAAAAAGTGATATGTTATCATTTTAAATCAAATACAGTTTTAAAAATAAAACAAAAAATTTGTTTTTCAAAAAAAATATACTCTACTAATCAACATATTTTACTTTATAATGTATATAAACAATTTTTAAATCATGCACCATAGGAGAATAAGTATCTTTCATATATAATCCAATAACTTAAATATCTGCTGTAGAGAAAGATATTTTGTATGTGATATAATATAACAAATATTGATATTCATGTTATCTATAAATCAAGTAATCAATCAAATCTGAATATTTATTTTAAACAATTTTTAATTCTGTGAAAAATCCATATTACATTTTTTACTATAATTCAAATTTGAGGAATTTATTATTTAAAAAAATAAAAAGATCAGTTAATTGTATAATTGTTAGAAAAAAATAGTTTCAAATGTATAAGGAAAGGAATTAGAAATTTAATTTCTTTGAAAACAATCTTATTGCAAATAATCTTATAATGCAAATAATTTCTATAGGAGCATTTTTTAATTAAAAATCAGTTTTTAAAATATTTATATTATTGACAAAATAATAGCTTTTACTATTATTTTAAACACACATGATTTATTTTTTTATATGCATAAAAATATGAATAATTATTTTATCTAGTATTATTTACTGAAAATAGCATACAAGAATATACTTTAAAATGAAAACTTTGCTTTTTTATTATTTTTTTTTTTAGTGCAAATTATCACAATATATTCATTGTTATTTGACAATATTACTATACAAACAAAATAATTATATCTTTTGTTTGATTTTACTATAGTAGTAAATATTTATAGATATTTTTGAATTATTAATTGCTTAATTATAAAAATCGATGATGATAATTCTCATATCTCTAGTGACAAGTTTATCATTATGATAAAAATAGCTTGACAAAATTCAATAGTGTGTTTATTATTGGTTACTAACATCAATATAACATAGATGATATAATTAAACAGTTTCTTACATATAAATATATTGAATTTACTCAGATTATCCAATAATTCAATATCATGAGAATTCAATATCAGATCTGCTCTTCCAAACTATTTCCCTTCTATGGTACATGATTAAGAGAATGCAGCTTGTATCAATATATGATAGCAGCATACAGTGATTATAGATTATATATACAGTACATAATTGTAATTGCATTATCGATTATGAGATATATTGCTCAAAATTGGATCATATCTTTAATGATTAATTAGTTTAATAATACAATAATCAATTTATACAAAACCTTATTGCTAAATTTAAAGTTTGTATGTGAAGTTTTCACTTCAGTAGTTTGCAGCAAATTTGGTTAATTATTGGTCTCTGGTCTTCAGTTTTTTCAGAAAATTTGAGTGAATAGGTGGAAAAAACTATATTTGAAAAATAAAATTAAAACAGAATTTTTGCTATTGTCATTTATTTGAGTTGTTGTTTGCTATTAATTGTAATTAGAACTAAAATGGCGCTTTAATTTTTCACTTGCTTAATATAAACAAAAAATAAATTGCTGTTTTTGTAAATTGCAATAAATTGTTTTTTAATTTTTATAAATTAAAGAAAATTAAATCGTATGAAAGGAAATGTATATACAAGCAGTTTAATAAGATAGCTGCATAATCAGTGGTGATATTCGAAATATTTAACAAAGGGTTCGCTAACAGAAAATTTTTCCTTAACAATTTTTTTTCGCTTAAATGGTGCATTAGCAACATTAGCGCAAAAACTGACCTTAAGATATCCATATAAATAAAAAAGATATATATTACACGCGATGATAAAACTGACATAACTACGCGGCAAGTCACGAACACCGACAAAGTGGAAGTTTTGGTTAGAAATAAATACAATACTTTTTCTTGCGATATATCTAATAATAGACAGATGTCATCGTCTCTCGAAATACAATATCTTTTTTATTTCGCTGTCGATAGCCCGACACGTGTTCCGCAACCATTTTGTATTTTCTCGCCCGCTGCCACCTTGACCGCTCGGCCATACGGCGAACGGGGTATAAGGCTCTAGTTTAGTAGTGTTACAAAGTATAATACGTATATTTTAATATATTTTTTAAAAGAAACAAAACCACTGAGAAATGTTACATGTGTTTAACAAGGTTCGGAAAACTTTGAAAATGTTAACAACGGGTTCGGCCGAACCTGTGCGAACCCGCTGAATATCACCACTGGCCATAACTAAACAAGTAAATAACAAAATGAATTGATTACCAAAAGTTAGGTACAAACATGTTACTTTCGACATAATCACCGTGAAGATTGAGGAATTTGTCATATTTGTGGACGAGCTTTTTCATCCCCTTGTCATAGAATGTTGCCGTCAGTGAATTAAGATGGCCTTAACAACGTTGTTTTCAAGAAAGTCATTAGTGTCAAACCTCTATCCCGCTAGCCACGTTTTCAATTCAGGAAAGAGGTAGAAGTCTTCACCACCTTTAAGCATCCAGCGTATAGCCACGATGTAGCCCCGAGTGACTTCCACTTTTTTCCTGAACAGAAAAAGTGGCTAGGAGAGCAATGGTTCGAGACTAATGACGATCTTCAAAACAACGTTAGGGCCCATATCAAGTCATTGGCGGCAACATTCTATGACAAGGGGATGGAAATGCTCGTCCACAGATATGACAATTTCCTCAATCTTCACGGTGATTATGTCGAAAAGTAATCTTGTTTTACCTAACTTTTGGTAATAAATTCATTTTGTTATTTATTGTCTTTTTTTATGGACCATCGGAGGTTGTAAAAACCCTACGTACTTGGAGCCCAGTAAATTTTTCTCCGGGTCCGGCAACCTCTCTCGACGCCTCTGCGTATTCTTTACGTATTTCTCCACAATGTGATAAACTTTTGTTTTATATTAATACAATCAACAAATTAGTTGATTGTATTAATCAATCATCAATCAATTAAAAAGACTTTAATACAAAAATCAAACGGTTTAAGATATTATTACAATTAGGGAAATGAATTTGCAAAACATATGACAAAATTGTACTTACTTATTAGTGCAATCTAAAGATTGGTGACACTTTGAATTACATAGCAATTGGTTTTTGCAACAAGCACGCCTATTTGTGGTACATTTAGATTTGCAGTCACATTTTCTGAAACCCTGCCCAGTACCAAGGGATTGTTTTATTGCTGTTTGACGTAAAGATATTTCTACAGCAGAGACATCCACCTTCTTTCGTTAAAAATTTCTCTTTGCAAACACGGATCACCCTAGTTAATCTGCAGATTACCTACGTAATGTGCACATTAACGGATTTCGAGCTTTAGCGGTAACATATACACAGAATTCTAGTCTGAAACAAATGTAAAAAATCAAAAAAACATATGTTTTTTGATGTTTTTTAAATTTTAGGTTAAAAATCTATAAAAATTACTTTTGTCTACAGATTTTAAATATAATTCAATACATTTTGGTAAATTTTTATATTAAAATGATTACTAGTTTAAGTTTCTCTTATTATTAACAACAAAGGACAATAATAGTTTTTAAATCATATATGGTGTCAATTTACAGTGTGTACTAATATTGGACCCTAAATTTATATTTATATGTTCTTTTGAATTCGTTTCAATGACACTTTAGTGACATAATTTATGTAGTTGAACTGTCCATATTCGTGAGCTTTCATATCCAGATATTCTGCCATTTCTCTCCGAAACCTATCCCCTGTGCTCATCATAACTATGCGAAATTTCTCAACATAAATATAAGTTGTTCTTCTCGGATCCAAAATGCCAAAACCTGTAATTATATAATACCTATACAAATCATTCTTCTTTTTGTTTCTCGAATGTTAGCTGTATTTTGATTGTCATTCTCCATTCTTAGGTTTTTGAAGGTGTCTTCCAAATCAATAGTGTCACAATATATATTCCCATCTTCGTCTGATGTCGGTAATGCACTTTTGAAATGCTGTAATTCTTCACCCGAGCGATCCAAAGACATTCTTTCAACTCAAAATTTAATACGTTAAGAAGCAATTTAGATAATGAGAATATTCTGTGATACAAAATAATTCTTACATTGTCGGCTGTGCCGTTGTAGAGAATCCAATACCGTCTCATTTAAAATCACTATAATCATTCAAAACACTAGTCTATACAACGCGTTTAGAATCTGTTTTTCTCATCTAAATCTAGACGCTTGTGTTTGCTCCTAGTTTTGAGATTTAGGTAATTAGTGAAGTGATATAAATTTAATTATTTCATCTCTAAAGCTAAAAAGTGGTCAGAGTGGTGGTCAGAATCGGAGTCAGATGGTTTAACACAGGAGTTAGTTATTAAGCGTTAAAGTGGTTGAACTAAATCGTGTCCCCATATACATTCTAACATCTTAGGCGAGAACATCTTAATGGGTTTTACTGTACTATTATAAAATGGCAAAAAAGCTTACTTTGAGGATAGAGACGAGTTTTATTTTACTTTTTGTAAATTTAGAACGCTAATAACGAGTAAAATATTCATTAACAGATATGACACATGACTACTTTTATGTCTTCACCCTGTCGACCTTTCATTAAGAACCAAAATTTAATAGTATTAATGTCACAGTGCCACATTTCGTTTCTTAAACTTTACCCATTCTGAAATATTGTTTAATATCTCAGAACAGAAAATAAAGAAATTAAACAAATTAGATGCCAACAGACACACACGCGCGCGAATTTTTCCCCTTTACTGACTTTTTTGAGGGGTTCGGGAGGTCTCCAAACGTGTAGATTTGCAAAAAAAACTTGGAGGGTCAAATTTGACGATTCCCATACTTTTCCGCTTTATATACATAACAAGTTGGTAAGTAAAAAGGAGTCGGAGTCGGCGGATTTTTTGACTCCGACTCCGACTCCACAGCCCTGGTTCCAACTCTTGAAAGAGCTTTACTCTCAGCCATATGATTGATTATTTATAGTCCTTGGATCATTCTGATCCGTACAATACTCAGTACGCTGTTAGTTTTTTAAATAATTTTTTATATTTTTAATTATTATCGAATGACAAAAAGCTTAATTTTCAAAGTAGGATTGAGTTTAGAAATAAAAAAAAATTGTAAATGCTAATAACGAGTAAAATCGTCACTAGGTCCGACCCTAATGGAGATACACACGATCCCATTATCTCCCAACCTTCTCGAACATTAACCACCAAAATTTAATTCAATCAATTCCCGCGATACACAAACTCTCCCTGCAAAATTTCAAAAATTTTNGTGACTATAAATTTCTTTCTCCTTTCACTATAAATTTCTTTCTCCTTTCACTATAAATTTCTTTCTCCTGTGACTATAAATATCTTTCTCCGGTGACTATAAATTTCTTTCTCCTTTCACTATAAATTTCTTTCTCCTTTGTCTATAAATTTCTTTAAATTCTTTCTCCTTTCTTTAACATTCTCTTCTATCTCTTTTGTCCTGGTCGGTGTCGAGCAGTGGGTCAGATGGGAAGTATGCAAACAAGGCAGGGGGTACTCCTCCCCGTCGTGTCTCCACCTTGTCGTGGTGGGG